TGTGATCCCAGCTACTCGAGAGACTGAGGCAGCAGGATCACTTGAATTCGGAAAGCGGAGGCTGCAGTGAGCCGAGATCATAGCGCCACTGCACTCCAGCCTGGTGACAGAGCGACACTCTATCTCAAAAAAAAAAAAAAAAAAAAAAAAAAAAAGAATAGAATAGTATCCCAGCTTTCCTTGACCAATAGCTACCGGTTATGTTTGCAGAATAGTTTTCCTTTACAGTCTTTCATTATTATTCAAGAATAAAACAATGTATTGATTCAAACCATACGTTTGCCTAAAATATCACCTATCTTGATAGTATGGTCTTTATATACATCTGCAAAGTTTGCGCAGTACCTGACTCTAGGAGGCGCTATTTGCACAGGCTATGATATGAATGGCACAGGCCCTCAACTCCAAAGTTGTGTAATGTACGACTTGAACATTTTGATGAAAAACGACACATTCGCAGCACTCTATTCTGTTAGATATAAAGTTGTCACATTGAGAATGTTGAAACTTTTGCAGATTTCCCTATACTAAGATAATGTTTCCTGAAATGCTTTCTGAAAACTTTGTAAATACAAAAATTTACAGTTTACAAGAGGCATCATCTGAAAGACAAAACACTTTCCTGTTATGCCTTTTCAGTCCTAGTTTAATTGTATTCAATTTTTAATGAAGTAATTTATTCTGATGACTAATAAAAAACTAACTGCAAACAAAAATTAGGAAAAAAGGAGAAGAGACTGTTAACTCTTGTTTCCTTTTATATGTTGTCCTATCTCCTCTTTTTCAAAATATTGTCAACTAAAAGCTGTTTCTCAACAAAAGCATGAAGAAAACATTCTGCCCAATTCTTAAAAATATGTGTAAAACAGTTCCATATTTAATTATAACAATGAGGTCAATGTTTTTGTAGTTTTCATTGTCATTAGTGATATAGCTTTGATCTACATGTTATTAAGGCAATCAGTGGTGGATAATATAAAGTATAAATTTGATTTGAATCATCATATATTCTTGACATATCAATTTTTGTTTTATTTTTTATTTTTTTTGAAACAGAGTTGTACTCTTTGCCCAGGCTGGAGTGCAGTGGTGTGATCTTGGCTCACCTCAACCTCTGCCTCCAGGGTTCAAGCTATTCTCTTGCCTCGGCCTCCCAGGTAGTTAGGATTATAGGCATGCACCACCATGCCCAGCTCATTTTTGTTTTTCTTAAGTAGAGACAGGGTTTCTCTATATTGGTTGGGCTGGTCTCGATCTCTCAACCTCAGGTAAACCTCCTGCCTCAGCCCCCCACAGTGCTGCGATTACAGGCGTGAGCCACTGTGCCCAGCCTGACAGTTCAATTTTTGAAACTACTTTAGATGATATTTATTTAATGCCAAGGTAAAGCATAGATCATTTAGCCTTAAAAATAATTTTTAAACCAATTTTTTTAGTTTTAGGAAACAGGTTGAAGTGTTTATATTTTTCATTCTTATTATGAAAATACCAAAAATTTAGACATTTTTATATGTAGTAGCTTGCATGTTGAGTGACTATTTATTCAGTTAATGGTTAGTGGAGAGGAATGTATATAATGCAAAATGTTAGGAAGGAAAATGTTAAAATAGAAGAGAAATTGATCCTGAAAATTAAGCAAACATGAAAAGTAGCATAATGCGGTATTGCTTTCTGCAAACACTGGCTTACTCGAGATTCACAGCCTTTCAAATGCGTTCTATTATATCTGCATTTTACAAATGAGGATATTAAGGCTTGAGAAGCAGTTTTTTCAAAAAGTCAGTTGGTTAAGTAAGGAGGTGTCTTTAGGAACTTGGCTTTCTTTGCTTCCTATCCTTACCCTGACTTTGCAAACACACACACACACACACACACACACACACACACACACACTTTTAATACAATGGTAGATTGCTTTGCAGATCTGTCAGTTATGTAATGTGATGTCTTTGATTATATGCACATGGTTCTTTATAAGTTTTACAAAATATCCTCATTTGATTTTCCCAAGTCCAGTGATCAAAACTAGTAATGTATTATTTTACCTGAGTTTGTCTCATATTGTTACTCTTGTTACTCTGGTTGACCTTTTAAAAAAATGTTTAAATTACCATTCTTTGCAACCAGCAATTATTAGGTAGAGATATTTAATTTCTTTTTCATTTTTATTCCAAAAGGAAGTATAGAATATGAAATCTTACAACTGCTCTGTACCTCAATAGTCTAAGCCGTGTGCCATTTTGGATATATTCTAAATATAATTTTTAATTATTATTGCCAGCATCAAGATATAACTTCCATACATTTTATTATGATACTCATCAAATTCCATACCTCATTAGGCCATTGGAAAAGATCTCTTTAAAATTCATTGCTTGCCATTAGTTCATTTGAAGAACATTTTAGGGATATAATTAACTAGAACTGAAAAGATATTTAAAAATCTATTACAAAATTTTTCAGGGAATCATTTCTCCAACGATCTCATTTGTAGCAAAGGCATACAAATATTCATGAACAGTAATAACCTTCAGGTTTTAGTAGTAAATTTAATAATGACATGCTTAAAAACAATAGAAGCCTGTCTTTCTTATTCTGGTCAGACATTGTAGAAGGTACAGGAATTATTTTCCTATTTTAATATACATATTCACTTAAATTTGACTATATCATATCTATAAGTTGTCAAAATTGAATAAGTTTAAAAACTAGATCCAAGCAGATCATATGGGACTAAGTTATTCTAGTTGTCTAAAATGTGAACAGGAAAAAACCTTAAAAATACAGTTACTCTTACAGGAACATATGACCATTTCAAACTTGTAAAAATCTAAATTATGTGTTTATATATTAAACTTGATGCTTTAACATTGGAACTTTTTGAAACAAAAGAAATACTTCTTAGACAAAATTTGTCAACTTTTTTTTCAGCTCAAGTGAATTCAATTATAGTTTAAATAATTTTTGTTATAAAAATCTTAGTATCCCTGAAGACACTTAGAAATTAATTCATTCTGCCTTCAAGGATGCTAAGATTTTTATAATAAAAAGGAAACAGTATTCTCAGTTTTCTTTTCTTTTCTTTTTTTTTGAGAGGGAGTCTCACTCTTGTCAGTCTCACTCCAGGCTGGAGTGCAGTGTCGCAGTCTCAGCTCACTGCAACCTCTGCCGCCTGGGTTCAAGCGATTCTCCTGCCTCAGCCTCCTGAGTAGCTGGGATTACAGGCTTATGTCACCACACCTGGCTAATTTTTGTATTTTTAGTAGAGACGAGGTTTCACTATGTTGGCCAACCTGGTCTCGAACTCCTGTCCTTGTGATCCACCTGCCTCAGCCTTCCAATGTGCTGGTATTACAGACATCAGCTACCATGCCCAGCCTTTAATTTTAAAAAATTATATTTTCTTACTTATTTCTGTTGTTTGTCATCTTTACATCTGTAAAATTGATATGACATTCTAAAACTTTGTAGCTATTGTTTGAATAAACATTAACTTTTGAAAACTATAAAATCATATTTCAGGGATGAGAAATTATTTGCATTTTTGAAAAAATATTTGATGATTTATTTCTCTGAGTTCTACGAATTAAGTATAGTATATAAATGTGGTACATATAAATGTCTTCTTCCATTGAATCAGATTTGGAAGGAAACTTAAGGGCCATTAGTTGTCCCTCAGGTTACAATTAAGGACCAAAGAGAAACAATGGCATAAGATGATAAAATCTACAGCTTACTGTAGATTTTTGAAAATTGATCATCTATAACATGCATTGGGTTAATTAGTTCACTTCATCCTAAACCTGAGAAATGAATGGTCATTAATGTCCACCCAGTAAGTTTTGTGGTATAAATTCTTCTTGTGTGGTCTCTATTTGAGAGAGAGTACTCTGTAAATGTATTCCTTCAAGGAAATGAGAGCGTAAATCTATTTCCTATTTTGGAGTCTGAATGTGTAAAACGTTTGACATGAGTAAGAATTAGAGATGTATCCCTACTCACACCAGAGGCCTATGGTTTCTGTGATGCCTTTTATGGTTTTGAGTCATTGTAGAAATTAGAGTAGACCCGTGTGGTTTTGATATTTTTTCCTCCTAGTTATCAGACTATGTATGTCTGTGTGTGTGTGTACATTTAAAGTCAACTTTACTGTGTAAATTTTGTAAAACATGAGTCCTGAAAATCAGCAACAAAATCATTAGAATTGTGAACTGTGTTTCTGTGGAGTCAGTAAAGGCTAAATGTGCAGTGAATAGTGTCCTCTCTCTGTGTACCATTTTTGAAGGAGTTAAATACGTAAGAAGTTATAATATCATTTTTAGTTTTTACTGGGTTATATTAATTAAATTAGCTGGTGAGCATAAGCAAGTTACCATTTTTCCAAAGTGATCCCAATAAGCAGAATTTATTATCTTTGTTTCTAATTGTATGTGGAAATATAAAAATCTTGAACAATAATGCTAGTAAAATGATGCTATTTTATTAACATTATTGATGATGTTGAAAAGTCTGTTATTTATTAGTTCTCTCAGTAAAACACAAGAAAAAAAACAAGATACAACAGTGACTTTTAAGTAAATGAACTCTATTGTTTTAATCTTTTTGTACTGAGTAAAATTAGTAGAATACGAGTCTAAAACCTCTTCTTTCATTCTAGTCTCATATCCCCATACGATCTAATTAGAAGTCACCTGAATATAGATGTAGATTTCTAGGTTACACTTACTTTGAGAAAGAAGATTATGTATATGTAATGAGGTTTGAATAAAAATGGTAATTATAGGAAAACAGTTAATTGAGATGATGGTGAGTAACCAACTAAAGGTTTTTCTAGCAAATTCTAGATGCAAGTGATTAAAGAGTAGGTTTCAATTAGGTATTTAGAATGACATTCACTTTTAATTATTGGTATTGTTATATCTGGTGTTAAGAAAACATACTTCATTCTATTTTAACTCTTAAATTTTTAAATCTATTTATCCCAAAAATGCTGTTTCCAGAACATCACAGAATAACTTATTTGGACAAAGGAAGCTGGCTGCTGGGGAACATCAATCAAACTGGCTATTTTAGAGTCAACTATGACCTAAGGAACTGGAGATTATTAATTGATCAATTAATCAGGAATCATGAGGTACACTCCAGATTTGCTTTACAAATATCTTTTTTTGATATGTGAACACCTGCCATTTTAATTCTAAGTTATCCTATTGTTTTTTCTAATTGGCTTTAGGTTCTTTCTGTCAGTAACCGAGCAGGTTTGATCGACGATGCCTTCAGCCTAGCCAGGTACGTTTTCCTGTGGATCTCCCCAATAAAAATTCGTGCCTGTAAAACTTCCTCTATTAAGCTACGTAGTATATATAAGTTTTTTATTTATGGCGTTAAAAAATCTATTTCTATCTTATATTCTTTGGCTTTGGATATGAATTCTATTTAGTCTCCCAAACTTTCTGTCAATAATAGCTATAGAGTATTTCTAAATTAGGATAAGCTTGATCATTTTCTCCACAAGTAGATTTAGCACTTAATAATCTCTTCCCAATTTCATTAATGAACCCGATAAAATCATTCTTGTGCCATATTTAAGTTTTAATAGAAAATGCCTTCAAGTAATGACAATTTTTTCCCTGCTATTTACAGTATATATTTTTAAAATTTTTTTGAATGTTATTCATTCTAAGAAGCTTATGCTGCAAAACGGAAATAAATATTCCATTGGGTAAAACTTTTCTTGACAAAATATATGTCAATCTTATAAAAGATTTTAGTTGTACTATAGTAGTATTTGTGTTATTTTCATAACTATATTTATAATATTAAAATCAGTTATTCCTTTAACTAGTCATTAAATAAAATAATGTTGCTCATGAACTGAAGCTATTTTTGAGACTAAAAGGTAAAACAAACTCAGTCCCTTTAATATTTTATACTGTTTCACATCCAAGTACAGTTTTAATTTTAATAATCAAATTATACAAGCTGTCAATTAAGACATGGGTGACTCTCTTTACTTACCTGGTTATCATGATTTACCACATATTCTTCTAAGATAATCATGGGCAACTGGTTAGTTATGCCTGTGCTGATATTAACACATGACTTTTCTTAGTAATAGGCTTTGTTTCATACATGGAACATGAAACTGCTTTTACAGTTTATGTATTCAATCAAAATTCAATTCTCTTCCATATGTTAAAAAGCATATTACACACTACAGCATTCTAATCCATCAAAATAATGAGCTTACACATAGAAGACTTGATAATTACTTTGATAGATGCAAAGCCAATGTTTGGGATCTAATTACAGAAATTGGTTTTTGTAGAAACAAGTAGTATAAAGGAGAGAACACAAGTAATATAGACGTTAAGAAAAAAATTTCAGTTGCTTTTCTATTTAAAAAACTACTCTGACTTCTTTATTGCTATGAAAGAAACCAAGAATCATTTTTCTTGGTTTCTAATATTGTTCTTATTTGGTGAGCGGCGCTGTATCAGTGCCTTATTCTGACCAAGCATGAACAATTTTAGGCACAAATTTGCCTAATAATTAAATGGCAAACCTAAGGACAATTTATCAGCGAGGAAATTGCTAATGAAATTGTACCAATTGAATGTATTTGTGTAGTAAGAACTGGGGCTCAGTTCTAGTAAAGATAAATGAAGGCTTTTTCATGCCATAATGCTATCTTTTTGGGCAAAAGTTTAGAAATAACAGGCTATATGAAGGCCTGTTGAGATAGTCATGTGTAGAGATAATGATTAATATGTAGCTTTTGCTCTGCAGTAAAATCTGAAAACTTTGTAGAAAGTTTTATGTATGACAGAAAGATTATTTTGGCACAGAAGTTTAGAGAGTCCAGAAAGCCAGAAAGATAGTTATTTAATGTGATGATGTGCTGAGACAGGAGCAGAAAAAGAGTGAGATATTGAGTATCACAAGGTAAGGGCAGGAAACTCAAAGAAAGCTGTTATCATTGGCTAATAATTATTAAACACTTTTAAGAAGCCAAATGCTTTCCTATTTTATATATAGTAATTTGTTTAATTTTTACAACTTCATAAGATACATAGACAGGTATTATTATTATTCCCAGTTTAAGTGCAAGGAAATGGAAGCTCAGAGAGGTCACACAGCTGATAAATGGCTAAGTTGCAGCCTGGATGCAGGTGATCTATCTATAGAGTCTATGCCATTAACCAGAGCACTAAGCTGCTTCTTAGAAATAATTGTATTTATTCTAATAAAAGATCCAGATGATATAGAAGGACTAAGGGGTTTCGAAACAGTTGTTCATGTGAATCCGTATGGGTTTGAAATGATGGTGAGAAAGCAAATAAGTAGTAATAGCATAGCGACAGAGGCCAGATGGAAAATAAAAGAGACGGATCTGGTTGGTCATGGTGGCTCACACCGGTAATTCCAGCACTTTGTGGGGCCAAGGTGGGCAGATCATGAAGTCAGGAGATCAAGACCATCCTGACTAACAGGCGAAACCCTGTCTCTACTAAAAACGCAAAAAAAAAAAGAAAAATATTAGCTGGTCATGGTGGCACATGCCTGTGGTCCCAGCAACTCAAGAGGCTGAGGCAGGAGAATGGCTTGAACCCGGAAGGCAGCGGTTGCAGTGAGCCGAGAACATGCCACTGCACTCCAGCCTGGCAACAGATCAAGACCCCATCAAAAAAAAAAAAAAAAAAAAAAAAAGGAGAGATCTATTGACTCATCTGCATTAAATGAAAATGATAGAAGTTATCTTTAGATGAAATATTTTATTTAATTTTGGTAGATAGATTCCTTTTTACTGAGACAGAACATTGCTTTCAATTCCAATTTTGGGAGCCTTAAAAGTTTGAAGTAAATAATTTCATGATCATTTATATTAATTCACCTGAAAAACATGAAAATCTCATTGAATATCTACTTATAATTTGTTTTGTTGCTCATGAGGTAATTTTCCTATTATAGCAAGAGTAAATAAATATAACTTTAGATTCATTTAGGGAAATTCTCTGCACCTACTTGGAGTTGATTCTTCATATTTCATTCTAGTATGGTAAATATTCCATAATTTTGCTATTCAATCTATATCAACCTTCTCTCAGTCTCCTGAACGCCTGGTACACTCTTTGGGTTCCGTAAAAGGTTAGCAAATATTCATCATATACCTATTACTGTTCTGATGCTTTTGTGAATGACTTCCTTCAGTCTTGTCAAGGAACCAATGGGGTGGATGTGGTCACTGTTGCTATTTTACAGCTGAGCCACTGAGATTAAGAGAGGTTAAGTTGCTTAGCTAAGGCTGCATAGCTTTTGGGGCAGGGGTGAAGGCAGTAGTTCAACCCCAGACAGTGGCACAGCAGAGTCCATGACCTCAGGTAAGAGTGACTTTGCCCATTACATGAAATTTCTTGCTATCCTCATTCCTTTTGACTGTTGAGGGTATTATCATTTACTGAAAAAATGTATGATTTTACTCATCCTCCCTCAGTGAGGCCTTGTCCTTCCCAGCAAAAGTAAGGTGATACTCTATGGATCTGTGTTACCTTGTCACCTTGTTGCTCAACCACTTGCTTTTCTGGGTTCTTGATAATTCTCTGATGATGTGGAGGAGAAGGCCTTGTGGCATCATTTATTACTACTGTCTACCATAATGTTTGCTACAGAATTGCACCTGTATGTATTTGTTACATGAATTGATAATTGATTATGAATTATTTAGACTATTAACTTCATGGCAGTATTTGTTGTTGGATTAGGCAAACTTGCTCTCGTCATTCTTTATTTGGTTGTTTTTTAAATATATAAATTTGCCTGAATGTGTTCTAATTGTAAAGGACTAAAACAAAAGAAATACAATGTGAAATCTTTTACTCCCTTCATTCCCACCATTTTATCCTCCTCACAGGTGAAATATTTGGCATGGATTTATCTAGCCATCTTTTCTTTCTGCTTTCTTATTGTTCAGATTTTTTTTATGAACAGAAGTCTGTTCTCTGACTAATTGATTAAAAGTAAATCTGGGGATCTTTTCATTGTTTCTAATTTCTCACTATTATAATCAAGACGGCAGTGAATGTCCATGAAGAGTCTTTTGTTGTGTATGTGTATTTTTTTAAGATTTTCTTTTGTAAGTTGAATTTGGGGTTCAAAGAATATGACTTTTTAAAAAAGTATTAGAAATTGTATTCAGAAGGCTTTTCCAATTTAACCCTCCATCAACCATATTGAGAGGGTCCAATTTCCTCAAATCTCTCATTACAATAAATGGTATATATTTTAAAGATTTTGACAGTCTACTGGAAAAAGTGATTTTATAAGAGTTATTCATTACTGGTTAAAAGAAGTGGTGCATCCTTTCATATCCAGTTGCTGTTCATATGTTTTCTTCTGTGAATTATCACCCAATTAAAAGCAAAAGGTTAAAAACCTAATAGAAAATGAGCAAAGGTGTTTCCTACTATACTTTCTTATATATTTTGGATGTTTTTGGATATTAATCCTTCTTTTGTAGCATAGACTTCACAGTAGTTTTTACTCAACACTATGCCATTTTTTAAGAGGTTTTTAATATATATGTCAAGCCATTTCTTTTATAGCTTTCTGGTTGTGTCTCACCTAGAAGGGCTTCCCTATCTAAAATATTTGAAAATATTCTATTTTTCTCAAGAGGTTGTTTTTGTTTTATATCTGTATCTTCAACCCTTCCTTCGCTAATCAATTTTTATGTTTAGAATGAAGTAGAAGTCTAATTTTCTTTAACATTAATAAGTGCCAATTATTTTAATCCTATTTATTTAAAGGTTTTCATTTTAGTGGATTTGAAATGATATATTTATTTTAATGCAAATGCTCATATTTTAGAGAATGTTTATTTTGCTTAATTGCTTTCTTTGTTCTTTTTTGCACCACAATCATATTGTTTTAATAGGTTTAAATTTATTGTATGTTGCAGTTGGCCAAATTTTATCTTGTTCTTATGCAGAATCTTATATATTTCTTGCCAATATAAATTTTAGAGTCATTTTGACAAACTCTACTAAAAATTATACTACAGTTATGACTAGATATGCTTTGGATTTATAAATCAATTTTTATAGTATAAACATATTTTCAAATTTGAGCTTTCCAATGACAATATTATTTGTCTTTATTGAATTCCCTAAGTTAAGCTCTATGGTTTTATGTACATGGGTTCTTATAATATTATGTTATTTCATCATTTTTGAAAAGGTGTACACTGCTTTACAATATGGCACTGTACCCACCCTTACATATTGTAATTT